ATCGCCTTGCTAACCTATACGAGTGATGCGTTAACTCGCCAGTGTGTAGCTGGATATCGTCGACGAACAAGTGTTTACCAATTATCTTAGAGCATAGATCTTTTCGTAAAATCGAAGCATAAAATCAGCCATTTTAGACCATTAACCTCAAATATTTCATTGGTGTAAATCGTGGAAATTTACATAGAAAAGATTCAATCGAGGAGATGATGGAAAACAACAGTGCCATTATTAGGTATAACTTTTTCGTTTGATATACTTCGATGATCCTTTTTATGAGCGAGTTTCTAATTTCTAACTCGATTATTTATCAGGATAAAGAATGAACCGATTGATATTTGGCCGGTTGATGGTGATGATTATATTTTTGATCCAGTGGACTCTTGCAAAGTTAAAAATTATAAAACATTACCATTTTATAATCATCAGTGAGTTTAATCATTTGATTTATGTTCTATTGCTCCACTACCAAAAACTATCAAACAATTTTAATTTTAGGCCAATGACACGAATGAGGATATGGTACTACAGGAAAAAACAGATGAAAAAATACCCATTGTTTTTGAGTGCAAAGATTTTAAATCTGAACCGGAGTCTTTATCAACAACAATCTGCAAATTTGAGGATCAGATTTGTCAATCTATTGTGAAAATAGAAAACAATGATCAGACCAATTATTTGATTGATCCTATAATTTTGATACAACAAAAATTTAATTTTGATAATAATTTTCAATTCAACATGAATTCTCGGATAAAATCAGAATACGATCGTAACAAATACGTCGAATGTGGGATTTCTCACAAATCATACTCGGACAAGAATAATCTCAATAAATACATAAATACAGTACATAATCGTAGCATACGCTTCGAGTGTGACATTTGTCAGAAATCATTTTCAGACAAGACTAATCTCACGAAACACTTAAGTTTTGTACACGAACAGAAGAAACCCTTTGAATGTGAGATTTGTCACAAATCATTCGGACAAACACGTTATCTCAAACGTCACGTGAATGCAGCACATGATCGTAACAAACTCTTCGAATGTGAAATTTGTCACAAATCATTTGGACAAAAAGGAAACCTAGAAAGGCATACAAATGCAGTACATAAAGGCAAAAAGCCTTTCGAATGTGATATTTGTCATAAATCATTTGGACAAAAAAATGACCTTCAACGTCACACGAGCGTAGTGCATGATCATAGCAAACCCTTCGAATATGAGATTTGTCACAAATCATTTGGATACCCGAATAATCTCAAGCAACACATAATTGGAGTACATAAGCGTAGCAAACCTTTCGAATGTGATATTTGTCATAAATCATTTTCATACAAGAGTAATCTCAAAACTCACATAAACACAGTACATAGTCGGAGCAAACCATTCGAATGTGAGATTTGTCAAAAATCATGTGAACTCAAACATAACCTCAAATCTTCATAACTACATCAAACATAACTACATAATCGTAGTAAATTGAACTAATTTCGGTTTCAAGGTTAAAGCAAGTCATTAAAAAAATGAGATTATTTTCACGGCATTTGGACACAATAAATTTTTACTCGCATGAGTATTTTATTGTTTGAAAACTCTTGACATAAATATTCTACTATTTTGTGAAAAAATTTAGAATATATAAACTGTTATTAAGGAGGCTCTTTCGGTACCGGTTTTTGTACAGTCGAACGCGCTGTAGCTTACGCATGGTGCAGAACGCAACGTAATGCGCATGTGCCGTACGGCTAAGCCTTTCTCGAGCAGACATCTGATTTTAAGTTTATTTCCCATTGAGAAATAGATTTAGTTGATTTTTTTTATAAAATGTTCAATTCATATTTTAATAATAAAAGATTTCTTTCTCAGAATTGCTCCGTTTTTTATTTAATTTAAAATTTTTATTTTTATTCGAATTTGAATTTCGCGCTCTTTTGCGTTGCGTCGTCTTTCGGATCACATCGAGGAATTCAACGGTTATCACGTTATATTTCTTCAGAACGTTCGCCAACCTATATTTTTTATCATTTCATTTTAAACATTATTAAATTCCCTTTCAGAAAATATAACTTTTATCAAAGTCTCTCATCATTGAAAAAAGTTATTAACAAAAAAAGATAGCCTCCCATAAGACTGCATGTTAAAATGAGCATTTTCGACTGCAGTTTTCTCGGAAGTTAGTTCGCCGACCCCCAATTTTTTTTTTCTACATAATTGTGATGCTCTAAGGAATCGATGATATCAATTACATCAAATTCTCTCATCTTTGACAAAATCGAAAGAGCCTCCTTAATTGGCATAAAAATGTAAAAAATAGTTTTTTCACACCAGCGGCCCGAAAGTGACTACTTCCCGGCTGCTGCGCAAAACGGGAAGAGCTATTTTCGGGCCACGGGGTATGAAAAATAGTATACAGGCCTATTACTGCCTTAGGCCGCGCCTTTTTCGCGGCCTGGGACAGTAACATACTAGTCATGTACTGTACAGAAACTAATGTAATAAGTAATAATTCATCTATGTTTTCAATTGGCTTTTTTGTATTATCACTGTAAAATCGATGTTTAAATGTTCTATCTACCCTTTCACCAAGTACTTCTTATCATTATAAAGGTAGAAAATTTTCTCAATTCGGTTCCCAAATCCTAAATTATTCCTAAACTTTTTGCCCTTCTCAAGTACCCATCATTTTTCAAACTTGTCTGGCACGTCGATGTCTTATATCGTCACACAAATGAGAACTTCGCTTAATTAAATTTTGAAGGGAAAAAATAAAAGATCCATCTGATTGAGCCATATAACGTAGATTAAGCTGGCGTGAAAATCGCAACGCAAGCGACACTGTTTCAATAGACCACACGGAGGAAAGAATGGCGGCTCGTGTGTGTGTGCGCGACGCAGCGCAAAGTAAGCGTGGGAGCAAGGGTGTAGGTCAACAAAAGAGCCGTTAAAGCGCGTCTCTCGTCATGAGTGCACACACACACACACACACACACACACACACACACACACACATCCAGTGCAGCAGCAGCAGCAGCAGCAACAGAAAGCGAGAGCATCCCTTAGGTACACACAGCGAAAGAGATAATGTGAGTTGGCTCGCCGCTGACGGGGTGTTTGCTTTCGGCGCGCCGCGTTTGCACACGTACCAGAGAGCTGCACCCGTATATATTATACATACATAGCTCTCTTGGCACACGCAATAGCGAGCAACCGAGAGAGAAAGTGCAGCTGAGCGCGGCTTCTTTATCAAGCTGCGATCCGCACATCTTTATCGTGTCGCAAGTATACCGAGCTTTCGGTGAACGCCCTCAAAGTGACATTTAATTTTGTTCAGGCTGCTTAATAGCTCGATTTATCGAGTCAATTTTTCATTGATGCAGTCGCGATCTGTTTGCAGACAACAATCGTAGCCGATACGAGTGAGCCTGTCGCAAATCGATGCAACTGATCGCGACAAATGCCAATCCAAGAGTTGACCAGCGTACGTCGGTCAAGCTCGTCATTTTGCGTAGCATCGGCAGCAGCGATCGTTCGCAGGATTTGTGACAAGCCAGAAACATGTCATCCGTTGCACGCGAGCTGACAATGATTGCGGCTTCGGCTAGCTCCGTATTATCAATTGATGTTTTTGTACGCAAACGTCGTTTCACGTCGGTATGCAGGATTCGCGCATATTATTTCCATTATCTTTCCCGATATAGGTACGAATACATTTCAAGATCGGGAGCGGATCGGTTTGAAAACCGATCAAGAGCAAATGCACGAGATCGTCATTTCTGCGATTGATGTTTCCAATACTTGCCTAGCGCACATAATGAGTAATCGACCCATGTACATACGTAGAACGTTTTTTTCCATTTCGCGCAATATGTCGACGCATAGATGCTGATAGTTAGTCGAATGGAATCGTCGCTGCAGTGAGCCGAATGATGTAACACGAGAGTAAATAAAAGTAGAATTTTTGTACAATAGAAGCTGAGCTATAATAATATAAGCGAAGAGCTGGGCGAAGTTTCGAGTGCGGAGAGCCCGAGTTGAAAATTGTCGGATGAGTGTAACTCATCGCAGCCGAACAAGCAGGCAACGCATAATTTTTCACTTAAAATTTCTGCCGGTGACAGATTTCTAGGAGCTTGAATTTTCCCCCGATACGCTCGGTTAGTTACGGCAACTTGAGCATTGCAGCCATATATTATTATGGCCCCGCACGTACCTATATATATAGACGCGTGCCTTCGCCTATATAAAATATACCTATATAGACTATGTGTATTTAATCACTTGCGATCGTATACAACGCAGATATAGTTGTGTACCGCACTTTAGGCGATATCCTACATAAATATCCATCTGAGAGAAGGAAAGCAAAAATTTCATACTTATCGCGCGTTGAACACGAATCGCAAAATCGAAATCTAACGGCAATTGAAAAAAATCAAGGGAATTATGTAAGTTTGGCAAGTTTATAATCGAGCAAGAGTAAACGTTGGCTGCATATATATTTAAGCAATTCTATAAAAAAATCCTTAAATCTCGAGACTAAAATATCGATTCAAATTGATGTTGGTAATGGACATTTGTAATTCTTCATTGAGGTCCCAAAAACACGGGATAATATGGGAACAATAAATATTTTACTAGATATTTTGTTAAAGCTATTTTCGTCAAAGACAAAGAACATTTTCCCGTCAATATGACTACCTTTTTGTACTTGAGAAATCGAATAATTAAAAAAAATCTCTAAGGTTCAAAAAAAATTTATTGAAATGATGTTATTTTTGGTGAATGTTAAACTACATTGGGAATAATAAATTAAAAAATAACATCATAATTCATAATAACCATGTCATATCCTCAAAAATCCTGCTGAAATGACGAGCACTGTTAAATAAATATAAACTTAAGTCGTTCAAAATTTTATTATTGTATTACAATTAATCGTATATTTCATTTTTTTCAACAATTTATAATATTATAAATGAAATTGGTTAAATTAGTCAAGTTGAAATGAGTTGGTAATGTACTGAATTAATGTGAACTTTAAGATTAAATTTGCGGGTGAATGATTTTCCGCATATATCACATGTATTTTTGATGCCCTTGTGCATCGCAACAATGTGAACTTGAAGATTAGACTTTTTGGTGAATGACTTTCCGCATATTTCACATGTATTTTTGACGCCCTTGTGTATCGCAAAAATGTGAACTTGAAGATTAAACTTTTTGGTGAATGACTTTTCATATAAGTCACATACATGTGGTGTCATACCTTTATGAACCATATCAATGTGAATTTTCAGATAATTCTTGCTTGTGAATTTCTTGCCGCATGTATCACATGTATGTTTGACGCCATTGTGCACCGCAACAATGTGATCTTGAAGATTAGACTTTTTGGTGAATGACTTTCCGCATATATCACATGCATATCTGATATTCTTGTGAACCTCATCGATGTGAGTCTTGAGACTGCCCCTATGTTTGAATGTCTTAGCACACTTATCGCATGAGTGGGCAATACAGTGAAGCAATGATTTCGGTTTTCTAGTCAGAGTATCCTTAGTTGAAAAATCCTTTTTGCATTTACGGTTATGTTGGTTGACTAAGTTTTTTGTAATTCTTCTTTTATTATTTTGTTCGACATGTTCACAGTCTACATTCAAATTTAATTCTTCTGTAATGTCGCCAACAAATTCCTGTTTCACTTCTCTGGATTCCATTTTAATTAAATTTAGAGTTTTGTCGTTGATATCTTTTGTATTCTTCATGTGATTTGGGAAATCATCGTCAATTTTCTTTACTCTTAATAAATCTATGCAGGGCTTTACGTCTTCGCATTCGACAACTATTTCCAGTTCGTCGTCAAGTTCACTTTCACGACTTTTGTCACATTTTTTAAGGGTATGGGTCTGCTAAAAGATTAAAACTATGAGAGAATTTGCATAAAAAATCAACTACGATACAAGATAAAATTTACAATCATCAACTTACTGAATTTTTTGGAGGAAATGGCAAATTTTGAAGATCGGGTTTTTCGTCAATCATTTTATAAATATTTTTACTCGGCGTCACATCACTAGGCTCCTTTTTCACTCTAAAATAAGTCCAGTAAACGTGAGTATTAGGTTATAATATTTTTATAATTTAATTCTCATGAAATGAATATTACCTGACGGAATAGCTAATTAAATTACTGGATTCCATCTTTCACTTGTAATTACATTAACAATTAGCCTTTCCGTAATGATTTCATACATCAAACTTACTATGTACTCTAAAAGACCGACGAAGACTGCTGTACTATTCTCTCTATATTTAAAAAAAAACTGTGTCTACATGAATAGTGCTAGGTTATGCGCATTGGCATTGGACCGTTTGTTTTGGACCTTGTGTCTCCATACCGCGACCACTCCTACTCCACATAGTCCTTCGTGTATCATAGCGCTAATTGCATCTACAGCAGCAAAACACATGTGCGGCTACCGGGAGGATAGGTCACGCATGAGACGCACAACGTAAACAACAAAAAAACTTGCATATTTCTGTGCTACAGCTTAAATTCAAGTTGATAATATTTACCAATCGTATTAATAAATAGTTGTTAATGTAAACGAAACAAGACTAAATCATTTTCATGAGAATTTTTGAGTAAATTCCTCGGTCACTATGAATTAAATTTTTTAAAAGTATTTCTTTTTATGCATCAATATGCCAATTAAATTATTTATTACTTAACAACCATATCAAGTTTTTGCTTATTCCTGCGTTTTCCGTGTATCTTTGAGCCTTTAAAACAGTTCTCGATGGTCGGTACGCGCATCCCGAAACAAAAATTTAAATCGCAATTTCAGTCTCCAACTTTAAGGATTTTTTTAATAGAATTGTTGATATAACTATACACGTCTCGCGGATAAAAGGAGTAAAAGCTGGCTCTAAAGCGAAGCTCGCGACATTTCCGCACGGCGACGTAGCCTATAAGTGCAGAGTAGTAGCTGTGGAAGTAGTAAAACGTATGATACGCGCGGCTCGATCGTCGTTGGGCAAAATTCACGAAACGAGTCGCGAGGCTGCGAGGAACGACGAGCAGAGGAGCTCGTGAAAATATGGCGTCGTTGAGGCTCGAGCATCCTAGTTTATATATCGCGGCTCCAGCCTCGCTTACTCTAGCAGTAGCAGTTACAGTCAAAGCGCGAAGATACAGTAGTTATATAGAGATCGACACGTGCATAAATGCGCGCGACAGAGCTGGAAAGAGAGAGAGAGAGAGATGCAATAGTCGCGGGGCTATAGGTAGTGCGTGGGTGCGTATGTGTACATGCAGATATTTCACGAGCTGCTGCCGGAGAGGAGGAGCACAACCGCCTCCATATTCCACCCTCGATTAATATACACGCATGTGTATACGTACAGGGGGCTCGATGCAGCTTACGTATACAGCCTCGCCAGAGAGCTCGAGTGTCGGAGTACGTGTGTATGTATGCGCCCATGCGGATGTCTATATGTGCATCTCTCGCTATCGAGCCTCTGCTGGTTTAGCCCGTGCCTCTACAGTCCTGGAACTATATATATGTGCACTACACGCTGCGAGTTGGCTGAAGGCGAGCGCATATATAAACACACGCATGTATACACGCACACACCCACCCAAGCTCGAGCATATATATATGGGTAACTTCAGCAGGCCGAATTCGAGTGCGTGCGTGCAGGAATATGCGCCAATGCGATTCGCCGAGCGCGAGCAGCTAATATATAGCTCTCCTCCCAGAGCCAAAGTTACATGTGTCTCTCCGTATCTGTCGACTCTACTCTGTATATGTGTCCGTGTGTGTGTGTATGCGTACATATGTTACGCGCCCATCGCACAAATATACGTATATTGGGCATATATACCCAATTCTAGCGCAAATACACACATACGCTGCAGCCAGACAGAGTCTGCTGTTTGCGTGTATACGTGCGAGTATATATGAGGCTGGGCCGTAGAATGGCAAATAACATATTCCGCCGAGAGCTCGATGCAATTTCATATACTGGGGTGTCGAGCTGCTGCTGCCTCTCTTTCAACATCTCTCTCTCTCTCTCTCACTTTCTCTCTCTCCTTCTTTTGACATTAATGTTTCAAAACATCATATAATCTATTCCAATGTTACATATATAGGAACGAATATACCAGGGTCAAAATAATCAAACTAGTTTTATTATTCCTTAATGTCTTCAGAAACGTCTTCAGATATTTTGCACTAACCTTTGTGATGCTCTAGATTGAGGTAGGAGGCTGCAATCGAAAACTTGAAACGGTCAAAATTTATTAAAATTTGACAAGGAATTCAAAAAAAATATTTTTAAATTTTTTCACCGGAACCATTGGGTTCTAGGAACCTTTTTTTGTTAAAAATTGCATTTTTCTGCCCTAGAAACTATCGTCTTTAATTAGAAAATCTGAAAAATTTTGAGGTTATGTATTTTGATGAAAAAAAACAAGAAAAATTTTTTTTAGATTTTTCGAGGCTCCGTATCGCCCTAAAAAAATTATTTTCGTCAAAAAATGCGGTTTTTGGCTTCAAAAGGTGCGTTAGGTAATCTGAAATAATCTGAAAAAAATTGAGGTAATGTTTTTCAATGCGATAAAAAACTGAAAAAATTTCCGAGTACTACATCGGCTTATATCGCCGTATCTCGATTTTCAGAATTTTTAATGATTTTATCTGAAGGCCTGAAGCACTCAAAAAATCTGAAAAAAATTCAAGGTTGTTTGGATTGTTGAAAAATATTTTTGTGAATTTTTTCAGATTTTTTAATTACTCCATGTCCTCAGAAAAAATATAGATCGAAAATGGACGTTTATTCCGGAAGTGGGGGCTAGGAGGGGGAAAGGGGTCTAAAATTTTTTTTTGGGACCTTTTTACCATGTACTATAACATACCAAAAGCGCATCAAGATCGGTGACATACGTGCGCACGGTTTTGTAAAAAAGTATTATTTTGACCCACCAATATAAAATTTTAAAAATTCAAATTCGCACTTGGATTGTTATTTTTCTTGCTAGCTTTTAAATCAATTTTTTCAACTATGATTTATGTCAATCGAAATTATTATTTTTTTTTACCATAACTAGCATCTTTCAGCATGCTATGAGCGCATCATACCCGTCCTCAGTCTCTTTATCAAGAATTTAAAATCTCGCGTTAAATTCAATTCACGTCACCGATCTAAATTTCACAAACAATCACAATAAGTTAATTTCAAAGGCGCATTCAATTATAACATTACTTTTTTAATATTATAAGAAATGTATTTTGTGAAATTCTTAACGCAGCTGCCGCGTTATGTTACTAATACCTGCAGCTCTTGACTAATTGAATTTCATTTCTAATATCACAGGCGTGATACTATTATGTTCTGTATTACGTGTGCATGAGTCAATTTTACTCTTGGATCAATGATATTTTCATTATAATTCCTGTATAGTTTTAATGGACCGCGAGAGACGAATCTTTCCATGGTCCATAACTGCGTATAACCAACCAACTATGGAGGGGGAAAATATCGCCAAGGAGCTACCACAATCACGGAGTCACCTCGCTAATACACGAGTAGAGTGTGCAGTCGCTATCAAGGAGCTGAACTCTTGTTAGCAAGTGTTTACAAGTTTGTGCGAATTAGAGGTACAGTACTATTAGCTACTCAAGGCACATAACCTCGAATATCTTCAAAATTTTATTAATGCACGGTAATTTCAGATAAAATTCGTCATCAGCTTCATATGAGACACTTTTAACTATGGTTTCTTGATTAAGATAACAATAATGTGCGATAAAGGATACATGAGTGTATTCAAAATATTATATCATCAAAAATTGCAAATAAAGAACTAAACACAAATTGAATAGCCAACTGGTAAAAAAAACTCATCAGCTCGTCATAAAAAATTATCGATTTACATACAAATTTTATAATAAGCTCAAACAATTGAAAGCTTTGAATAATTAAATCCGTATCTTCGATATTTCTATGACTATATAATGAGCTCAATAAAATGAAAAAAGGTGATACGGTTACCGAGTAAAAACGAAATTGCTTCAAACATTAATAATAATAATCACATGGTCGCGAGTGTTTCTCGTAGCAGTGAAAAATGGAATAAATTTCGATTTGTAAAAATGAATATATTAACGATGCTCTCCATTGCTCAAAAATAAGCTTCGAATGACCGAGTTCGAATACAAAGAGTCAGAGAGACATAGATGAATAAACGAGGATCAAATTTTGTTCATTGTGACGCGCACGCGAGCATAGTATAGAATTCGTTGGTCGCAAAGGGTTACATAGTATTCCGCAGGAAATAAAAGTACATAACAGACGAGAGATTGAAAAAGTCTATAGTAGGGTGTACAATAAGCAGCGACAGCTATCGAAGAAAAGGCGGCGGCGACGCGATAGCGGCTATATATACCTGCACGGACTACTCTGTGCTGCAGATGATGGCTCAAAGAGCCAAGAGTGAGATATGTGTGGCGGCGGCTTTTTTATTGTCGCCCGATTCATATGTTAATTGGCTCAGAGAGAAGCAGGCAGCGGCTCTAACTCGCTCGTCGTTCTTTTACTCTCGTCTGGACGCGCGTCGTCGTTAATCCCCAATGAAAGCAATATCCCCGTAAACATCGGTGCAAGTACCTACCCCGTCTCTCGTCGACCGTCGACGTGATACGTACGGGGCATGATCGGCGGATCATCTCTATTGCGCGTACCATTGCCGCACGTACTTCTCGAGGGCTTCTACGATGCTTCGCCGTGTACTTTTATGTATGAACTGTCCTGTACGCGCTGCAGTGCACACGTGACCTTACGCACATATATAAGTATAAGCTCGAGCGGGGGAGCGCAGATTGTATTATGCGTACATGGGAAGAAGGCCTGCCATAGGAGGAAAAGCTCGCATCGAGATGATGCCAAGCACTCGACGGCCCGACGCTAATAAATTAATTGAATCGTGGCGGCGGCGGCGGCTCCAAACGCTGCACATATGATATATCTATACAAACATGGCATCTATCTATGTGCGATGGGTACGCACGAATTGCCAAGAGCGAAAGGGGGACGATTCGAGCATACGAGCTCAATGATCCGTGCAACGACGCGTGGAACGCGAAGCGTATGCGCGTGCGGCGCGCCACTGCAAATATTGGCCGCTCTCATCGTGCCACGCCAGATACGAGCTCGGTTTCTTGCTCGATCGTCTACGCCACTGCGCCGTTTAATTTCTTTTTCTTTTCATTGCGATTCGATTGCTTCCGCGAGCCACCCCGATAGCAGCCTCCCCT